AAACCAAATCTCATAAAACTTCATTTTTTGAGGTGCTGGCCCAGGCTCCCTACCCACTCACTTTTGGGAGAGTGGTAAAGACCCAGTGAAAACTTGAGATGGAGGAGAAAGTTAAAACCATTGACAGCAGCAATGGGACACAGGCTGCCGGAGCGCAGGCTGGCACTCCAGCCACATAGGAGGCATCACTGGCAGGGGCTCGGCCAAAAACAAGGTTGATCCAACCTGGGAAACTGTTACCACAGGAAGGAGCTACAGCATTAGCGGACCTCTTCCAAGCTGAAGCTGCCTCTCAGCGCAGGAACTGCTGGAGAAGAGCTTTTATTGCTGCTGTCCCAGGTTTCTTTGTCTGCGGATGGAAAGAAAGGAAAGGGCTCAATGGGATGGGATGACTCCGGAGAAAGGAGATTTCAGTCAGCAGTCCACAGCCCCTTGCTCAAACAGCTGAAGGAGAAGTTCATCTCTCTGGAGGTAAAAGATACAATTCCTGTTTCCCAGGAAATGGGTGCCATGGGGACAAATGCCCCAAACTATCCATCTCTCCCTTCCCTTCACCAGAGTTCCATTCCAACTGCCAAAGCCCATGCTGCTTCACCCATCCTCCCACCAGCTGCAATACCGAGCCCTGTACCCCAGCAAAGTCTGCTGCCATGGCCTCAGGATACCAGCCCCGGAGCCTAGCCAAGAGAAGTCCAGAGAGTGATTCGGCCACATTCCCAGGACCAGCAAGTTGACCAGGATCAGCAGCAGGTGCAGGTGGCCCCACCAAGATTTGAGCTGCCTCCCATCAAGCCCACTTTCGATGGGGATCCTGAAGAGCTGACTTTCTTTTTAAAATCAGGTGTGGGCTATGCTTATGCCTACCTGGATGGGGCTATGATGATGAATGCTGTGATAGCAAATTTGGAGGGGGAAGCTGCTGACTGTGTGACCAACCTCCATGATGAGGGGGCTCCTGAGTTGAATGACATTAATCTATTCATGGAGCAAATGAGGGGTCAGTTTGAAGATAAATCCCAAGTCCTGATGGACAAGAAAGAAATCCACCACCTGAGATAGAAAGGTCATCTTGCAAAGGAGTACGTCTATGAATTCAGGAAAATTGCTAACCAGTTGAGGCAGTGGCCTGAACAATTACTAGTCAATTACTTCAAACAAGGGCTAGATCGGGACTTATTTCAAGCTTGCATCATTTGAGGTTTCCCTAACCTATTACGTGAGTGTTACCATATGGTAGTGGTGCTAGACATCGAATTGGATCATCCCAAAAAGTCAAACATTGCCGAGGTCAATCCACTGCACATCCAAGGAAAGCATTTCTATGGCCAATGTACCCAAGTCTTTGCAGCCACCAGCATCTCCCAAGTGCCAGCTAGGGCTCCCATTAAGTGCTACTGGTGTGATCAGATGGGTCATCAGGCTGTGGAGTGTAGCTTGACAAATGGCATCCTCACATCTGGTGGGAGGAGGGAATGTGCAAGTTAAGACTAGTGTGGAGGCAATTCTGGTGGCTGAAAATGAAAAAAAACATTAAGAGTTATGTAAAAAGTTGTGCCACTTATGCTACCATGAAGAAACATCCTGAGAAACTGCCAGGTTTATTGCAGCAAGTGGTCGACCCCTCTCAGCCTTGGAAGGAGATAGCCATGGATTTTATAGTAGAATTACCTAAGAGCAAGGGGAACACTGTCATATGGACTGTGATTGATCTATTTTCCAAACAGGCACATTTCATCACTTGCTTGGGACTTCCTTCTGCCCAGAAACTAGCGAAACTGTTTTTGAACCACATTACAAACTCCATGGTGCCCCAAAGTGGATTATCTCTGACAGAGGGGTACAGTTTACTGCAAAATTCTGGAGGGAGTTTGTTAAACTGATTGGGTCCTCCCAGGGGCTTTTATCCAATGGTGGTATCTCAGACGTAAATTACCAGCAGTCAAATTGGGCTGACCTTTTACCTTTTGCAGAGATAGCCTACAATAATACTGTGCACAGTAGTACTGGTATCACCCCATTCAAAATAGTGATGCGTACACTTCCGGTCCTGCACAGTAGTGCAGCAGCCAAGGGATTTCGGGGCTCCATGCCCTTCGGCTGAGTTTCTTCCAGTTAGGGGACCCTAAATTGGCCAGAAGTTGCCCCAAAGAGTCAGCAAAGAAGGAAGTCCCATGGACCATGGAGAGACAGCGGTTGACCTGATTGGTCCAGGAGAAGCCTTCTAGAAACCAACAGGAGAAAGGCTAGCTTAACTTCAGAGTCTAGCCCAAGCTACAATCAACTGAAGTAAAAAAGTACTACTTTAAGCTGATTGTAAATAGTGTGTTTGAATCTGGGTAAGAACATTGATTTTCTCTCTCCTACTTATCAACTTTCCTGAAGAAAAAAAAATCCCAAGAAGCAAAAAAACCTCCGAAAGTGAAGGAGGGGGATCTTTGCACCACCCTTTTACTAACAGAAGTGGTGAATTAAACCTTTTATGGAGGACCAAAACATACAGAAATGAAATGAAATGAATATAAAATCTAAATTTGGATAAGTTTGAAATTGTTAAATGGTTAAGATTCTCATTTTAAAGGCAACTGTTTATTTTGAAAATTGAAAAATAAACCAGTGCTGATATCTAGCTATGGCTTTCATACAGGACTTGGCAAAATCTGGAAAAAACTAATTTGTGCTTGTGACCTTCGAAGCTCTAACAATAGAGAACAACTGTGACAAAAAAGAAAACAATCTGGGCTGCAGAAAAAGAGATAATGATAAACTTCAGGGAACAAAAAAAAAAAAACCTTTTTGAGCTTTCTGGATTACAAATATTTACTTAACTGTGACTCCAAAGCTATTTACAGAGAAAAGAAAAGTTTGATTCTTGGACATCATGGAAAATCAGAGACTTCCAGAAAGAACTTGTCAAGAAAAAATAAATACCTTTCAAGAGATATGATATGCTGTATGATATGCTGTAACCAATTCAAACAACAATGATTTCAAACCACAAAGAAATCCAAGATAACTTTGAAAATATAAACCAATTCATCTCCAATTTAACTTTACAACAAAAAAATCCCAGAAAACAACAATAGAGAAGGAGCAGATAAAACAGATAACTGAACACAAATTTGAGGATAGAGACTTAACAAGAAATATGATTTAACACAGTGGAAAAAAAATTCACAAGAAATATTGGATTTGGAAAAGACAACTTATACTTGCCCGCCCATTTCCCTCCAAACCGCATCCCACCTCAAATCAACTTACTTCTTTCCCTCTTTTTCTTCACCCACCCCCTCTCCTCCTTCACCTCAACCTTCCTACTTACTTCTCACCTTCTTCTCCTCCCTCTTGATGCGGTCCAGGGGAAATGCCCGAGCAGTTCCTCTCTCAAAATTAAACATTAATATTATATACAATAAGACTATTTCTACTTTATCTGAACTACTTAAACTTCAACCCATCCACCCCCACCCCTCCCCCCACCCCCCTCCCCCCGACTTCCCAGAGCAAAATAAAGGATTATGCAAACATATTAAACATAATCTATTTAAGTTTACTAATTATACAATGAACAAAATCATAAAAACCCTTAACCCTTAACTCTCTTCAAACTTTGACATCATAAGTTTACTCATAGAATAAGTGAAACTTTGTAGTTCCATATTTCTTCTGAACATATTCTATCCATCTTCTCCATACATTAAAATATCTCTCTCACAAGAGACATTTTTTCCATTTCAATACATAATAATTTTCATCAAAATGAACCTATTATTCCACCCATTACATTATTAAACTATTTTAATATATCTGTTCTAATAATCACCCCCCTATTTTTTTCTTATTTCTAAGTCTAAATCTTAATCCTTGAAACAGTCCATAAACCAACAGTGCCTTTTAATCCATTACACATCATTTTAAATTTCTCTTTTCAGTCTTATTCTGGCCTTCTTCCTATGCCAGGCAGGTTTCCATAACCAAGCTTCCCTTTCAACCGATAGATCTCTCTTTATTGCTTGCAGTGCCCTTTGAAGTGATAGGAATCCCATTCTCTGTATTAGGCCTCTGTTTCTCTCATCCTTAAAGCTTTGTTGCTTTAAAGTTTCAAGTCTTAATCTTTGGTTCTTCTTATCCTCAAAACTATAAATGACATGTTTCTAAGGTAAAAACTCTTTTATCTCAGTTGTTTCCTCTTCTAGAAAGTTTTGATTTGTAGAATGGTCAGATGTAGTCTTGAGATCAGTTTGAAGGTTTGAAGTGGAACTTCTGGTTCTTAATTCTGTAGTAAACTCTTTTATTGTAGCACATATTTCTGCAGTAGCCTTGTAAATCTTTTCCAATATAAGTTTGCAGTTTAATTGTAACTGGACATTTTCCACATTGATAGTAATTAAAGAGAGTCTCTTTTTTCCTTTTTTGTGGAAGCTGTATTTAATAAAAGTTGAGCAGTATCCACCCCCACAATTCCCACAGCTACATCAGTTTATCTTTTCTCTTGAAAAAATCTGAAGTTCAGGTCTATTCCATCTCCAAAAAATAACCACAGGTTTCAATATTAGGTTTTCGCCACTAGATGTCCTCAATAGATTAAAAAAATCTTTTCCAGACATCATTTCCCCCATTTTTTTCTATCTTTTAAAATATGATGTGAAAAAAGAAATGATCTTCCAGCATAAAGTAATAGTACAGCTCTTAAAAAAGAGTTTTTTCTGTATCCCAAAAACAGATGAAAATAAGATATAGTCTCTAAAATTTTATTCTATTCTTTTGTTCAACGCCTTTCTTCCCAAACATATAAAAGCTGCTTTTCCAAGACAGGGAAATAGTTCTAACAAAGCTCTTACAGGCAAAAAAAAAAAAAAAAGCAAAAGAGAGTAAAGAGAGGAGCCAAGAAAAAGTCTCACCTGGGTTCACCACGGTGGTTAGATGTTCTTTGACTTGCGGTTTGTGGCAGCTGGGTGATCGGCCATTTTACTGACCAATCTTCCTTCTCTGTTGGTCCTCAGAGATGGCTTGGACAGCTGGAGGAGCTGCCGCTCTTCCGCAGCCGAGTGAAGCCTCGTTGACAGAAGTCTCACCCTCCAGGGTGACTTTCGACCCGCATAAGGGTGTACCGGTGGAGGGAAAACTAGCTGACAGGGAGATGAGTCTCCTCGTTCAGCTAGGGATGCCGCGATCCGGAACTGGAAGTCAACTTTGAGAAAATCTTAACCAGTAAGAATGTCTTGAACATTGTGGGAAAAACAAATGTAAACAAGAACTGTAAACAGGATCTATGATGGGGCAACCAGAATGACTAGATAGAAAAGAAATATTATATGGATGTGATTATTATCTGTAGAAATATTAGAAAAAAATTATACTCAATTGTTATCTACCAAAACAACAAGAATTGTATTAACTTAAGGTTGGCAAAAGAGAACATTATGGGAAAAAGAGGAAATCAAGTAAAGCTATTATGTGGATTATAGATCATAGAAATCAACTGTTAGTGAATGTTTTTTAAATGTAAACCCAGATAACACACTGTTTACCAAATAATGTGACCATGTTAACAAATCAATAAAATATATTATAAAATAAAACAAATCAAAATAGCTCCCATATGTTGGGTTCCACTAGGATTAATTTGAGAGGACAACCCATGGAATATCCCAGCATTCTTTGTCACTGAATGTCAGTCATGCAATTTTTCAGCACTTCTTTAGGCCTCAAACTCCACTTCTAACCAACAGAAAAAGAAAATAAATAAATAATGATGGGTAGAGATTTTGTGCCCATGCCTGAGTTCCCACAGGAGCCACATATTTCCCAGACCTTGAACCAATGGGTGACATCTTTCCAGGAAGTTTGGGTGAATGTGAAGAAAACATTGGCTAAAGCTACAAAGGTTTACAAGGAGCAAGCAGACAAATGACGATCCCCTCAAAACCCTTTTTATGTTGGACAGTTAGTTTATCTTTCAATGAAATATCTATGGTTGAAATTGCCCAGCAAAAAATTGGGTCCAAAATTCCAATATAAATTTTATTAATAAATAAATAATTTTTATTAATAAATAAATAAATAATAAAATTCCTTGGTCCTTTTCCCATTGTCAGGATCATAAACCTTGTGATAGTGGAGTTAAAGCAGACATGTCAAACACAAAGCCCGGGGGCCGGATGCAGCCCGCGAAGTGGTTTCATGTGGGCCACGAAGCCATCCTGGAAACAGTGACGGAACAGCCCCTGCTGCCTTGGCCCTGGCCAAGGCTGGCCAGGAACCAATGTACAATTTTGTGGTGGCCATCTATGCTAAAATGCATTCAGTCTTAGCTCCACAAGGCTGTCTGGAAAAAGCAAGGAACCAGCCCCTGCCGCGTCAGCCCCACCCACTGGGTGCACGCTGGGGAGGTGTCACCCTTTGTGAGGAATGAAGAAATGCATCATCGCCTGGAAATGTCCAGCAAATGGCTCTCGTCTACTTCACATATCCGGCTTGATGGGCTTTGGGGGAGGGGTTTTGGCAGGCAGCAGGGCGCTCTCCTCACAGCACCGAGAAGCTCAGCCGGGTGGCGCAAATCCCAAAAGAAATGTGAGGCCGCCCAGCTCTCAGCCTGCCCGGTTTCAGCAGGCAGTGGGGCGCTCTCCTCACAGTGCCAAGAACTGAGCCAGATGACGCGAATCTGATGAGAAGTGCAATGCTGCCTAGCCCCCAGCCTGCCCAGTTTCAGCAGCAGCAAGGTGCAAACTGGTGAGCTTTACACTGCCTGGCTAAACCTCTCGGCGCTGTGAGGAAAGTCCCTCACTGCCTGCCGAAACCAGGTAGGCTGAGGGCTGGATGGTATTGCACAGGTAACGTTGACTCTCACGCTGCTCATGGCATCCCTTCCCCCGGAGCCCACCAAGCCAAATATGTGAAGTAGGTGAGGGCCGTGTGCTGGCCAGGTGATGGTGCATTTCTTCATTCCTCACGAAGGGTGACACTTCCCCAGCTGCGTTTCTTGCCTGTTTTTCTCCCTCCCTCATCTCAAATATTTTCCCACCACTCTGTAATTAGGAGGGAAGGAAGAAAAAAGGAGAGGGAGGGTCTGAGGGAAGTCCTGCCTTAGTCCTGCCCTGCTGCCCTTTCACTATCCTCTTGCCCCCTCCTCCTGGCCTATCCTGGGGGTCTCCCATCCTATTGCTAAGGAAGCTTTGGATACAAAGCTGGGTCTCCTGCCATGGAGAGGGAATGGGGCTCCCTCTGACTTTGCCCTCATACCCATCATGAGCAACCTGGGTAAGGAGGGCAAGCACAGCAGCAGCAACCTTGAGGAGGAGGTAAGTGCACCTGGGTGCCCCCTGGGGGAAATGGGGCTGGGCTTGGTGTTGTGGGTGCTCGAGGGCCAAACTGGGCATTTGACCTCTGCTGTTCAGGGCTCCCGGCAGCTGCACCACCATCGAACCTCCCCCGCATGGCCTGAGAGGAACAGTGAGGTTCCTCCAGTGGACCATGCCTTGGCACTTGCCCTGGTCCTACCCTCTTCTGCCAGAGACCCTCAGATCTGTCCCACTCCTGCCCAGGCCCCCACAGGCACCCTTGATGCAAATGATGTATAGCTGACTACGCCCACCCAGTAGGCCACACCCACTACGTCCACACCCACCCAGTAGGCTGCACCCACCCTGGCCACACTCCTCCCCCCAAGGGCAACCGCAATGCTGATGCGGCCCTCAATGAAATTGGGTTTGACACCCCTGAGTTAAAGCTTCCGTGATTGTTTTGGGAAAGTTCATCCTGTGTTTCATTGCAGTTTTTTAAAACCTATATCAGAATCCACCTTAAGACCTATTCCAAAAGAGCCACCTGGTCCAGTAGTGGTAGAGGGAGAGACACATTATGAGATCAGATGTATTCTGGATTCAAGGTTGCACAAGGCAAAACTACAATACTTTGTCCAGTGGAAAGGGTACCCCCTTTCAGAGGCTACATGGGTGAAATGTACAAATGTAAAGGCGGATAAGTTATTAAAAAAGTTTTATGATAAGTACCCTCACAAGCCCTGAGAGGATGGCTAACCTAATTTCTGTTTCCCCTGCAGGAGACTCTTTCTTTCTGAAGAGGAGCGGACTGTCAACTTTAGAATGAGCATGGCTGCAGCCATTTTTTCCTTCTCATTTCTATTTGACACATAGCATGGAGGCAGGGGGGTTGCCAGGGTTTGTGCTAGACAAAACAGACTTTCTCTCTCAGACTTTCTCTCATGGGAACCAAGGTCATCGGCTGCTCCCGGGACTGCGGGCTGGGCGTTTCATGAAAGCCCCACTAACATGCTGAATGGGGAAATGTAGTTGCTTGCATAGCCTTAAGGGTGGGATTTCTTAACTTTGTATTGGGGAATTGTTATGCATCTCTTCAGACTTGGTTTTACTTTTGAAGTGCCGAATTTGTAAGACTCAGAGTTCTGCTTTATTTGTCTCTGTCTGTCAGAACCATGACAAGTAGTTTATGTTTGATATTAATTTGTTGTTAAGTGAACAAGAATCAAATAGTTTTTTAATGAATAAATATTTTTACAATAGAAAAAATGTCTGTTCACTTTTAGTCAAACTATTTTTTTTTGAGTATCTATGTGTAAAGTGACTGACTATTCCTCTCCTCTTCTCACTCTTCCAGTAAATTCAGCTAAGACAAAACAGTCAGGTTTTAGCTGTAAATCTTTAATAAATCTCTGTTTAAAATCAGTATGTTCATTATTGTTAGATAATCTTATAAAACACACCCAAATGTGGAACTTATACAATAGGAAAGTCTTGGGTGAAAAAAGGAGATGGCCATAAATAGCACTCTCAGAAGTTAATATTAATGTCCTTCCAGAAAACTAGACACCTCAGAGCTACACACAATAGAATAAAATGATTTTGTACATAATCCCATTGGTTACTAAAAAAAATCTATTGAATTTAATTGTCCTCCATTTAAATTAAACCACCAACCAATCACCACATTCAGAATGCACAATGACTTGTTAATACAGCAGCCTATGAACAGACTGGAGTGAGGAAGATGCATTGTTTCTCATTTAAATACAGTCTGCCCAAAGTGAACTAAGAAAGAAAAAAGAAACAAAATTCAAGTCTGATACCAAAGATAAGCATTTATGATAGTCCACTTGTTAAGTTCCCATGACCAGAGAGTCCCTTATATGATAGAGTGCTGCAGTCATTCACAGATGACCTCTTGGAAAAAAGTAAGGAAAAACAATATGGCATGATTTATGAGTGCAGATTAGTTAGGTGATTATTTCAGTCAGGAAAGGTGTCCTTTCTGATAATAAAATGTTTCTCCTTGTAGCTGAATTTATATGTGTGTGTGTGTAATTACTGTGCCATGTATGCACTTTCATCTGCCACATGAAATAATACAATCATAATTATCATTTGTTGATTCCAAAAACTATAACTGGAACTACCAAAGATTTGTGAGTTATTTTTTATTTCATCCTACTTCATTCGATCCATCAGGTTCGTTCAAAGGTGAAAAATGTAAGCCTCTGCATTTAGGCAGGAAGAACCAAATGCATAGGTACAAGATACATCCATGGCTTAACAATAGTCCTTGTGAGAAGGATATGGGAGTTTTGGTAGGCCACAAATTACAGATGAAATGGCATTGTGCTGCAGTTGGGGCTACATCAACAGAGACATAGTTCAAGATCATGAGAAGTGTTAGTACCACTCTATTTTGAACTGGTCAGACCACATCTGTAATACTGTGTCCCTTTCTGGTTATCATAATACAAAAAGGAAGTTAATGGTAATAGTAGCTAAATCTTACAAAAGATAGCTAAAGGAACTTGAAACTTTTAGGGTTAGGATTGAGTCTAGAACTATGAAGGTATTTCTCTCTTATCCCAAAGCTACTTTTTCAGGCGGCAACTGAAGACAAGTGCAATTTTTTGTTTGTGTTATAACTGCATGTGTGTTTGTGTGAGTAAAGAAAAGGAAACAAATAGCGAGAAAGAATAGATATGCCAAGTTTTCTGCAAAAATAACTATCCCAAAGTACATGTAACTGATATATACTTGCATAGTCCATATCTAGAGAACTGCAGCATGCCTTTATTTTCAGACTAATCTTTTTAAATCTAATGTCAATTCTCAATGAGGCTGCTTAAAATCAAACTATAATCTGAATTTTTAAAAAAGAACATTAGGCTGCAGTATTTGAGCTTCTTTAGTATTCTAAAATAAGAATTTATTCTCTAATTGATAAAATAATTTAGTACATCTTAGGTTAACTGCCCACTAGCTTTTTACTTGCAAGATTAATTAGCTACAATGAACTGTCTCCTAAGTTTTTGTCTCTGATAAATAATAAATAAATAAATAAATAAATAAATAAATAATAAAAATGAAATGATGAAATTGTAGTGTGTTAAAAATTCTTGTTATATTAAAATCGTCTTCAAATTATTTGTAGTTCCACATAGATAAATAAAAGGAATTTAAAAAGACCTCATAAAATATTAATGTTTAGGTTAGGATTTTTTTCATTATAAAAAAACGGGTATGATAAAATAGCTAATTATAGGGAAATTGTTAAATAACTTAATTTATTTTCCAAGTTTAAATATATTCCAAAGTATCCGTAAAAGAACTATAATTTTATTTTACATTTAAGTAACACAAACTAATTAAGTATATAAAGCAAAGTTTAAAAATATGATTTGTACATTAAATATATTTGGTGTGTTAGAATTTCCAAATATTATTCTTTTGCATATGATAACAATATTAAAGGTTAATTTTTGAATTTTATTAAATAATTTTTAACAATGTGATTCAGTATTTGAATGAACAAATGAATGTACATATAAATAAATGGCAGGAATTAAAATTCAGCCTAATGACATATGATGCATTTTTGTTAATGAAAGAACATAGAATACCATATTTTTAATGTTTCCAGATCAGGTAAGGTAAAAGTAACTCTTCATGGTGGGCTCACTCCTTTTGACAGCAAAGACATGTGCATTAAGGTCTCTTGGCAGTTGTACATAGTTGGTTTTCTACTAGCTTCTGCCAAGATATTTTATTGGCTTCCCAATCAAATCTACAGTTCTGTTATACTTCGGAAGTCCACCAGTCAAATATTAACCAGGCCAGACCCCACTTATTTTATAAGCCTACTTGCTAAAAATTTCCAAATCAAATGGAGTTCAATAAAAATATTGAATAAATTCAACAATTTAGTAACAATAATGGAAAATGTTAGCCAGGATATTTTAATAAAGCATAGAAAATAGATTTGGAACTAAGTCATCATAAAAGTTTATGTCGGAAGTTGAAAGAAATATTTTATAAAAGATATCCAACCTTACTTTAATTTTGAAACCCACAGACAAAAACATTATGTCAGAGATATTTCTATTTTTTTTCCTCAGTAAAATAAATCCCATCTCTTTATAACTTAGGTGCTTTATTCCTCAAAAAAGGACATTATGTTTTTTCCTCTTTCACTATGACTAAAATAATGTCAATATTGATCTTAACATCACTTTTTACAAAAAGAAAGATGGAAAAAAAGAACTCCACAATTTTCTAAACCAACCAACCAAACTACTTGTGTCAAACAATTGCATTGGACTTCTCCAAACTTCTGCATTTTCTTGCAGTCATGTTCATCATGGTTGCTACATAGTCATAAAATCATACCCTCCAAGAAAACAGTGGGCAAAAAGAGAAGTTCAGCATCTTTTCAAGGGACTACATGCACAAAGAAACAATTTTAAAATAAAAGAAGGAATTATCCACCCTACTAACTTCTTTTTGATTCTGTTAACTACTCTTCTTCCAACTACTATAAATAGAACAAATAAACAAAATGCAAATAGTTTTGAATGTCAGAACAATACCTAGCTGACCTCATATATGTTAAACTTACACATCACAGAATTTTAGATGAGAGAGTTGGAAAGTGGGAGGGACAGAGATATAGAGAGGACAAATCAAAATTAACTATAAATCGGTTTATGGATAAAAAATTGGCAATACTATTTTCTACTGAAAAACTTTCATTTATTTCTAAACTACTTGAACAACTCCATCACATTTTACAAAATGGTTCACTGATTTGCTAGTAGAACTTCTAAATAAGGAAAAGATAGAAACTGGACCAAATCCAGTATTGGAGAAAAAGACATATTTATTTCAGATCAAAATTAAATGTTCCATCAATACAGATTCTGTTGGGGTGCCAGATGGCAGTTATTCTGGAGTCCACTAAAGTCTGTCATTCTCTATCAAATATTTCATGCAAATTGTGTATTTAAAAAGTTGTATATCAAATCAAAACAAAAGAACACAAAAACAAAACATTTATATTTGCATTTAAAAAGTAAACTATTAACTATATATGTCTCTGTGTATACACACACAAACTCATACACAGAGAGGCAAATATATACATACACATATATACTCTATTAAGAGCCTTCTATTTTAAGTATGTGATTCACTGTGTTTATTAAAAAAAAATCGTATGATAATGTTTCTTCCTTCTTTTAATTTCTAGGACTAGAATGTATGTATTTACTATGTAACTATATCACTACATTTTAAAATGAAACTATACATATTTTATAGAGCAGAGGTCCCCAACCTTTTAAGCACCAGGGACTGGTTCCATGGAGAGATGTTTTTCTGTGGGGGCGTGGTTTCATGTACTGCCTGCATCCATGGATGGAGCTCTGCTTGTTTGCGCGGACCAGTTTCTGGTATGCTGTGGCCCGGTGCTGGTCCACGGACAGGGGGTTGGGGACCCCTGTTATATAGTATAACAGTGTTGTACATGTTTGCCACCTTGAGTTATTTATACAGAAAATTAATAAAGGCAACATAAAATAATCTAAAACAGAAATAAAATCTAAATAAAAATCAATTACCAAGTGCAGATGGAGATCATTGATAACCTACCACTATTGAGAAGAATACATACAGTATGTCTGTTTCTGCTCTGATGCATTCCATTACTTGCAAATACCATTGTAGTATACTGCTAGAGTTAGACCGGCATGCTGCTTTATTATTTGCATTGAGAAATAATTAAAATTGATCAACTTTCTACCCAAATTCATTGGGAATTTTTAATGATTTTACTCATGTGGTTTGAAACCAAACTGAGATAATTCAAGCTGTGTACCTTACTAGGTGTTTAACGTTACTAGGTTGTTATTACAAATAAAGAATCATGTTTTGGTTTTTTTTTTCTCCTGTACATATGTGAGGGGTACCCTGATTTACAATATTTTTTCTTACATATAACCATAAGTACAATGTAATCTTTATTGTTGTAAAAGAATATTCATGGTGTTTTAATTTTGTGATACCATTCTATAATAGGCAAGACAAGTTATGTCAAAGGGGATTATGATTTTATATAAATAGCCAAAAGAAATATATGTTAATAAACAGAATTTTAAGTAAACAAGAAAAGGAGATCATGCATTAATATTACTTATCATAGTAATATTAGACAAATTTGTTGTGAATTTCTCTGCTCCTTTTAAGCCATTTGTGTTAATTTTCCTAAACAAGATTGTAGCAAAATTTGAATATTTTGTTTAGACTTTTTAATATTCTCCTCTTAAATCACACATTCAGCTGAAAAGTTTGAAAGAAGGAAAATATTGGAAATTCAAGTTGTTAACCATTCTTCAGTTGAATGGCCATTCTGAATCCATGGAAAATTTCAACTTCAGGTGTAGTGATAGTGCTACTGGAAGCTGTTTTCTATTTTTTTGCTTATTGAAAATCAGGAATATTGATCTTCTCAGCCCTTCAGAAAGCCAAACATTATTTATATTTTAGTAGTCAGCTTCACAGAGTTAAAGACCTATTCAACCAAAATTAGAAGTCAAATGTAACTGGTTGCTTTGAGCCAATGGACAATGTCTGCAGCATTAAATAAAGTAATTGAGATTCATTTATGTATTTATTAAATTTACATAGCTGCCCATTTCATGAATGTGACTCTGGGTGATGTATAATAAAACAAACAATTTAAGCAGTCTTAAAAAAACTATTAAAATATTAAAAATAAATGTAAATAAGATCATGGTATGATGTGTTAGATTCACACATACTGTAATACAATCAATTCTTTCAACATGACCAAATAATATTGATCACTTTTTTTAAAAGAGAAGGTCCGTGTGCTGGGGAAGAGAAAGGATTTCATCCATCTTCAACTCTCCCAAAAGACAAAATCACCCAAAAGCTTGCAACTCAGCATTCAGTAGGTGGAAGATAAGAAATTGTTTCTGCATTGGCTCAGAGCAAGTGTGAAATAAAAGAACATAATCTGTCCTGCCCAAAATTGGTTATAAGATGACATTATAGCAGTGTTCCAATATCTCAGGGGTTGCCACAAAGAAGAGGGAGTCAACCTATTCTCCAAAGCACCTGAGGGCAGGACAAGAAGCAACGGATGGAAACTAATCAAAGAGAGAAGCAAGAAGAAATTTCCTGATAGCACAATTAATCAGTAGAACAACTTGCCTCCAGAAGTTGTGAATGCTCCAGCACTGGAAGTTTTTAAGAAGATATTGGACAATAGTATAGGGTTTCCTGCCTAAGAGGGGGTTGGACTAGAAGACCTCCAAGGTCCCTTCCAACTGTTCTGTTCTGTTCATCAGCTATATAAATGCTTTAAACCAGAGGTGGGGAACTATGACCCTTTTATGACTTGTGCACTTCAACTTCCAGAATTCCTGAGCCAGCATGGCTGGTTTAGGAATTTTGGGAGTTGGTTCACAAGAGCCATAGTTTCCCACTTCTGTTTTAAACAAACAAACAAACAAACAAACAAACAAACAAACAAACAAACAAAGTAATAAAAATAAAGCTGGATCTGCAAACGTCTCTAATAACTGCAAATTGTTGAAAAATTACTACACAATATTGATGAATAAGAATACATGAAGAAAAAAACAGGAGAAAAAACATCCTGAATATTTACACAGTACCCTTCACCACTTGTAGTTGTTTTAAATATTCCCTGGGCCTTATTTTATCATTTAATCCTTTTTATTATTTTTCATTGAGTGGACTGTGAAATTACAGAGATTCCTAGAAGAAGGAATTCTTTTGAAGTATCAAATGTAATCTTATTTGAAATATAACTATAAGAATTAAGGGAGCTTCCGGTACATGGCGGCGATGATGGCGGCTACTTTGTAGCCGTCCAGCTGGGAAGGTGTCAGAGCCACGGAGCACAGCGCGCACCAGCTGGCCCGCGGTTCGGAATCCCCTTCCCGGGCAAAGGGAAGGGGTAGAGAACGCAGGAGTAGAGGTAGAACCCCTGAACCCCCTCTGGATTTTTTCCTTGAGGGGGTGGAAGGAGCGTTCCCTCGGAGCTCCTGCTGATCTCCGCCTCCCAGCTGTTTTTGCTTCTTCGGAAGCAAAAGGAACCGCCGCTTCTATCTCCGCAGTTAAAGAGTCTCGGTGAGTAACTTTTGAAGCGGACAGAGCGGTTTAAAGGATTTCTTTTTATAGTTTAGTGTTTTATTTTCCTTTTTTAGTTAGTTTTGGTTGTTTCTCCTTTGTTCTTTTTTTGCTGGCACGGAGAGAGAAAATAAGATGGCGCTTTGAAAGTGTTCGGCTTTTTTT